AGATTAGGATGTAATATTACAGAAGGTAATGATATTGAATTAGCCATCAAAGGTTTACTAGGCACTTCAGTAGCAAATCTGACACCAAATAGGGGAAAAAATAAAGGAAAAATAAAAACAACACCAGGTATATCCAATTGGTTTGAATGGCAATGGCCAACAGAAGGTCAATATGCTGGTTATATTAAAGCTAGATCCTTGCCTAATATAGGTGGATGGAAAATTTTTTCTCTGGCACAGATTCAAAGATTATCAAAAGCAAAAGTTATTAAACCTCAACCACAAGTTTCTATCCCAACCACACCAAATTTACCTTGGACTTCATCAATTCCTAAAAATATGGGTAATTAATTGTCTAGAAATTTTCTATTATTTTAAATATACAAATGTAATCTTACAAACTTACTTGAAAAATAAAATTGTTTATCAGGCAATAAAATTAATAAATCCAGACCAAGCAACATAACAGTCCAACCAAATCAAATATTGTGAGTCTTTTAAAATCTATTAATTACTATTATCTATAATGATAAATTAACAAACCATTTATTAATATAATTTTAAATAGCATTTCTGATGAATTTTTGAAATCTATACAAAGTTGGATTACTCACTATGCTGCTGCTGTAAAGCTGAGGCATCAAAAAATGTCATAAATCTAATAGATGTAGAGTTTAGTAATAATAACAATCAATAAATTTATTATAAAAAAAATTATATGAGAATTACCATTGGAATTAAGTTGAGTTCTATGACAACAAAGCATTGTTCAACTGAATTATATTATGTTTTTAAAAACTTCAACATTTTGAAAAAAAAAATAATTTTTTTTATATATATTCTATACCTGGAATCCACAGCTCCTCCAAAGCGAATTATTTATTTTGAAATAATAAAATAGATAATTTTAAAAAATCAAGTTCCTATCTATTAACTTTGCGTGTTTCATGTGACTTTGTATAACAAAAAAAATATTTTTTCATAATTTACAACTTTCGTCACTCGATACATTTTTTTAATATATGCCGATCGCTCGGTTTTTATTAATGAATCTCTATCGTTGATCGGCGGACCACGAATTAATAAAATGATGTAAAAAATAAACTAATTTTATAAAAATGATGACATTACAAAATGATATCATCGTTTTTATTTTTATGATAGGCTTTTTTGAAAATGTTATATATAAGCGATGTTAACTCTTGCAAAATTCTATATAATATATATATATACAAAATAAATGCATAAAGCACAAAGCATAAAGCATAAGGCATAATATATGGGTTCCATCCTAGCAAAAAGATGCTTCGGGAAAAAAAGGGTTTTTGAGAAATCAGCTGATTTTTGTTTTTCTCCCTATTTTTTGTCAAACATTCCCCTGATTTTTATTCTAAAAATAAATTACTAACCCCTTTTTGTCCATATAAAATAATTTTTTTAAATATTTTAATATTTTTACAATAATTAAACATGACAACTAATCAAGAAACTTCTCAATATTTTTATGATTTATTCGAACTTGGTTTAGAAGAATATGATTGTTATGAAAATATTCAAGAAAAATTTTTTTTTGAAAATCCAACGAGTTGTGTTTGCCGTGTTTTGAAAAAACAAAAAGACATTAGAACTTGTTTTGAAAAAATTGGATTTAAAAAATTTTTTCAAAGACATTTTCAAATTATTAATTTAACTAACAAAGAATTGGATTTATTTTTGAAAGCACAACTTTTGGCAATGGAAATAGAAAATAAAAATTTTAAAGAGTCTTCTGAAAAAATTCCTCAAAGAATAAATTATCAATTTTGTTTTAATTCAACATATTCTCTTTGCAAACCAATATTTTTAATGTTATACAATATAAGTGATCATAAATTTGAAAATATTGTAAAACATTTACACAATGAAGGAATAAGTGAATGAATTCATGGAAACACAGGAAGAGCTCCTATATATAAAACTAAAGTCAATATTGATGAAAATTTAAAATTCATTGTAAGAAATTTTCTAAACCAATATTCTTTAATACATGGGTTACCTTCACCAACGAGACATAGAAATGATTCTGGAGCATTTATTTATCTTCCACTGATAAAAGATTTATATCTGTGTATAAAGAATTTAAAGAATTTTATTTAGAAAATATTTTGAAAGTTGAATCTGAAAATGATTTAAAAGAGGAAAAAATTATTTCTTACAATTCTTTTAGAAGATTATGGAATGAACTAATGTCTAATTTAAAATTTCAGCCTCTTGCAAGTGATTTGTGTGATAATTGTGTTCAATTTAAATCAAAATTGCAATTAGCAAAAAGAAATATTGATGAATATAATAATGTTGAAGCTGAATTTAATGAACATAAAAAAATGGCAAACCTTGAATGTGATCATTATAATAATAATATTGAATTAAGTAAAAATGATTTATCAATTGCACATATTTGTTATGATTGGGCACAAAATGTCACCATTCCTTATTCACCTCAACAAGCAGGACCATTATATTTTTTATCAGGTTATGCTGTTCATTTATTTGGAGTTTGTAAAACTGAAGGAGGAATAAATAAACAATTGAATTTTTTAATAGGAGAAGATGAGCTTCCTCAAGGCACATCTAAAGGAGCAAATACTACTTTGAATTTAGTTTATCAAGCTCTGCAAATATTTGCAAAGAATGGTAAAAAAAAATTGCATATAACTTGTGATAATTGCTCTGGACAAAATAAAAATAACTTATCTCTTTGGTTTTGGACTTGGATAATAATGCTGGGTTGGTATGAAAAAATTACAGTTAGCTTTATGATTCCAGGACATACAAAATTTATATATGATTCTTTTTTTGGTCATATAAAAAAATTATATAGAAAAAGTAAGATTAATCAGATTAATGATATTGAAGAGATTGTTAAAGATTCTTCAGAAGGAAATGAATCAATACAATATAAAGATGGTTTAGGGTGGAAATGGTACAATTTTGGAGAATTATTTGAAAAAATTTAAAACTTTACCTAATATAAAGCAATATCATCATTTTAGATTTAACAACCTGCCTGAAAACAAAGGAAAAGTTTTTGTTTCAATGAAATCTGGTGAAGAAGAGTCTTTTAATCTTTTAAAAAATAATAACTTTAATCATAATGATCCCATTAATATCATTCCAATTAATATAGATTTAGAAAAAAAATTATATTTATATAAAAAAATTAGAAAATTTGTAGAGGAACCTCATAAAGATGTTCATTTTTCAAATCCTAATTCAAATGAAATGGAAATTTAAAAAAAAAATTTTGTAAGATTATCATTTCCTTTTTTGTCATTATAAATTTTTTGGGGCCAAAATTCAATAAATCTTTGTGAGCTAA